TTCCTTAGCTCCTTCAACTCCAAAGGTGCCATTCGGTAGGGAGCAATGGATATGGGTTCAGTTCCCGAATAGAGATCGATCTTGAACTCAATTTTCCTATGTGATGGTAATTCGGGTAATTCCTCGGGAAAAACATCCAGAAACTCCGATACAATTAACACTACATCTGTATGGATTTTATCCCTATCATCTCTCATCAAGCTAGCTAAGAAACTCAAATGACTTCCTGATTTCACTTTTAAAAATCTACTACCCGTAATAGAAAATGGATGGGAAGAATCTCGGTTATTCACAAAACTGAAAACGACTCCTCCCGACAACTGAAATATAATCCGCTTGCAGAAACAATCCATTACCGCCCAGAAAGCGACCAACAAGTTCATCCCGAAAATCACATCATACCCCTTTATCTCAAAAGCAATCAAATCCACAATCAATTCGTGCTCCCCAATGCGAAGCACGCAACCCTTGCAAACTCGGCTAGTATCTAACCGTTCTCCCGTGGGCAAGCTAATGTTCATAACATGCTCTACCTTCGCGAAACTCAATCCCAAATCAAGTGCATATGTCGTGCGTACAAATGAGTGTGTTGCACTGGGGTCAAATAATATTCGGGCCCAAGAATTGTAAATAAGGACGATACCTTCCACAACGGCATTGGCAATGCCTTCCTCCTGCTGAGTCAAAGCAAATACTCGCCCTTGGTTGGCGCCGCCGGGGGCTTGAGCTTGTATTCGTCATTGTGGTGCAGGCCTCGGTAGTGGTGGTTGGGCTGCTGGTACCTGTCTAGCGGTCTGGATAGGCCCCTGAGGTGGAAAAATTGGACAATGCATTCTAATATGCCCCACACCTCAGCATGCAAAGCAGGATCGTGAGGTAATACCAGCTCTAGTTTGAGTGTCTCCCTCTCCTCGAGCTATCAAAAGTCATTGTCCACCTGTCTGGTCTGGGCGACGGTATGGTGTCCGTCTCTGTGCCCCACTAGTGCTAGTACCCGTACGGATCGGACCTCCTCTTGAGAAGCCTTGTCGTCGCTAGCTATCCTCTATGTCTCTCTCTCCCAGTGCAGCTCTGTCCACCAAGTCCCCAAAATCACGGATCTTGAGAGCCACCAACTTCTCCCTGATGATTGGCCTCAGACCCTGCTCGAAGCGCTTGGCCCTGTCGGCCTCATTAGATATAAATCCCGTAGCATAACGGGAGAGCTCGTCGAACTGCCTCTCATACTCAGCCACGGTCATACTAGCCTGTCGTAGTGCAAGAAAATTCACCTTCATTCGATCTCTGACCGATTCAGGAAAATACTTATCTTGGAAAAGTTGATCAAACTCTTCCCAAGTGAGTGTATCGGTGTCCCTTCTCCTCTTTATGGCATCCCACCAATAGTCAGCCTCCCCCTCAAACAGGTAGGTTGCCAAACCAACTCTCAACTCCTCCGCAACTCCCATGCCTTCACAGATCTTCTTCACTCGGCGAATCCATCTATCCGCCTCCAAAGGATTGGAGCTCCCATGGAAATTGGGTGGTCGTTGTCTTAAAAATTCCCGAAGAGCTATCATCCTTCGGTCTCCGTTTCCATTGCCCGGTACTTGAGCGAGATGATGAGCTCCACCATTGTGGTTGTTGTTACCATTTTGGTTTTGTACCAAAGTGGTGAGCTCCCTCAAGCATTGGTAAATGCCTTGCATGGCATTCGGAGGTGGTGGTGGTGGTGGATTCGCTTGACCTCCACGGCCACGCCCACATCTGTGTCCTCGTCCGTTCATCCTGCACATCAATTCACAACTTAGTTCATGGATGTAAAGGACATCCTAAATATTAGGTTAAGCTAAGGCATAGAACGTGTATAAAATTTTACTCAAGGATTTGATTCATCCTAATCCTAAAACTCTAGAGGTGATTTCATAACCTACAGCTCTCATGTAAGACCTAAAGTTTAGGCTCTGATACCAACTTTGTAATACCCAAAAATACACCCTGTATGACATTACATTCTAAAATTATTCATATCATGAGAGCACTAATATAATCCCTTAAGAAACAAGACTTTATTTGTCATCCATGAATATTTACAACATTATCCAAAAGAATAAGTCCAAGTCATGGCTATTACATCTCAAAAATTAATTAAGGAAGCGCAACGGAATAAACAAAAGAAGCTGGACTACACAATGTTCCAAAATAATGTCCTACTTCTAGTACAAAAGGAAAGGAGGTCGCTCTATGCGTCCACCTCGGGATCCACACTCCCGTCCCGTAGAGTCTCCCAAGTAGCGGGCTCCTTAATCTTTACGTCCTCCTCCTCAAGCGGGTAATCTGAAAAATGTTAGCGATAGGGGGTGAGCACGAAACTCTGTAGAAACATTCTCCCAAACTCATACAAGGTTTAGAAAAATATTTAAAACGGTCGGTCTCAATTTTAACATAACATAGATACATAATTTGAAATAAAGCAGTGACATTTAAAAAGGATCTTAAGTTTATTTAAAAATATTACTTAAATGAATAAATGAGCACCACATACAAATAATAACTATTAATTGTCATAACCAATTTTCAACAATTCTTTCGGTAGGTGGCATACTTTGTGGTAACCTCCACCCCCCTTTTAGGTCACCTTTGATTTTCAAGCATCCTTACCGGAAACCTCTTGAAAATGGATGAGCATCCTTACATGGAACCTCTCACCTCTCACCAATCACTACATTATTTTCTAAGCATCCTTACCGGAAATCTCTTGGAAAGGGGTGAGCATCCTTACAAGGAACTTCTCACTCATGTGCATCATAAACAACTCAACCAAGCATACAATTCCAACATTTATCTCAATTTACAAGCATCTATCCAAAATTCCCAAAATATATCATATAACAATTTCACAACTAACTAAGAAAATACATGAGATCACAATAACATCATTTTTCTACCCAACACAAAGCACTATGGTTTCGAAATCCATAATAAAGAAAGCAGTTAGGAAGGAAATACATTACTCTCCAAAAATTAGAGTTTTAAAACTAGAAAGAAGATTTCATGGGTATTAAACCCTATTTTGTTCAAAACATGTAATCCTTACAAAAAGCCTAAGAGATGATGATTCCATAGCATATATATATCATTGATAGCCAAAACATACATATATAAATACCCTAGCCTCAATGTAAGTGAATGAGAGAAAACTCCTACTTTGAATCCTTAGCTTTGGAGTGACGAACAAGAATATTTGATCTTGAATCACCCTTGAATCTCTTGTTTTTCCCTTCCTTTCTTCTTTTCTAATGCCCTCTAGGGTTTCAAGAGGTGTGGAGGTGTGAGGAGAGTGAAGGAAATGAGAGCAAATGAGATAAAAATGAGTTTAAAACATAATAGCCCCGAAAAATACTGTTCACGGGCTATTTTGAATTTTTCCAAATTTGCGGTTTTACCACTAAGAATCTCCAATTTTATTCATATGACTACCCTAAGATTTTTTGACGTTCCAGATTCATTTTTAATGTTATTTTAACCTAAAAATATTTATTTTTATGATTTATCTCAACACCCAAGTCAACGTACACCCGAAACACTAAAATTTCTATTTTACCCATCCGAATCGGCTATTAATGAAGTTTTGCGATGTTTGCAAATAAAAGGTGATAAAGGGTGTTTCTTAAAGCCTTTTATACTTATTTGAAGCCTAAAAGTACTCATTATTTTTATATTTTGATTTATGATGCAAATGGAGACATTAAATGCAAAACAAAGTTAATTGGACTATTTCGACATCATTTCGTTATCTGAGCATAACTCTCTCATCCAAGCTCCGATTGAGATGATTCAAGATGTTATGGAATGATACGAAAGAGCTCTAAAACTTTCATGTTTTGAGTTTTGAGAGAAATTTACTGCATCAAGGTCTAAATCGAGCTTGAAGTTGCAGCAGTGTACTGTTCATAGCCTGTCTTTGTCCCTTTTCCATTTCCAATCCATTCCTAAGCCAACCAAATCTATCTCAAACCTCTCCAACACATATTTCTACACCAAACCTATTTAATACAAGTTCTAGGACCTAAAATTTTATATTTTCACTTATTAAAACCAAATTGCAACTATTATTTTCACTAACATTTTAAATCTCTATTTTTTCAATCTACCAAATTCAAACACACATCACTACATATATCCACATTTTTTTTTATCACAATTATTTCCTATATATCTATATACATATATAAAAGAAAATGCGGGGTCTTACAATTGGATATCGGAGTCAAAAGTTATGATCAAAATACTGAAAATGTGTCAAATCTTTATCTTCTAGGATACTTTCCTAATCCAACTTTAAATGAGTTTTTTTTTAATTTGGACTTTTATAAAAATTAAATTGTCGTCTTATCTTCAAATATTCCTATCTTAATATTGACTCTTCAATCTTTATCATTTGTGATTCTTTCTCTACATTATTACTTTAAATCAATCAATTTACCTGCAAAATAAAGTAAATAACTAGGAAAAGTATTAAACCAAAAAATCAAGAAATCTAACTCATTTAATCAAAAAATAATATACAATTAACCAATTATTAGACATAATAACTAATATTTTTTATGGTTAATCAGTGTTCACAAAAATTGATAAGAAGAGTGGGTACCATCAGATTGGATTCGACCCAGAGATAAGTGGAAGACAGCCTTTAAGACGTGTGAGGGTTTGTATGAATGACTTATGATGACATTTAGCCTGTCTAATAGATAAAGTAAAACCAAACGAAGGTAGCTAAAGTGGCCAAATTGCCATACAAATTTTGAGGTACGTAGAAACTACGCAACCGACAGAAAGATTATGATCTTGAACATTTACAAAATGCTTGCCATAAAATAAAAAATTCATGTTCTTGTTGGGCTGAAGATTGATATTGGAGAAAATTGCTAGCCCAAATCTAACTGATTAAGCACTCCCATAATAATTAAGAGACTGAAACTCTCTCACCTTCAATTCAACAGCTTGACAAACGACAAGTTATGAAAAACCTTCAATCTAACCATGCTTTGACATCACTAGGCAAATGTAACAGGCACTCCACTGCACTTGCATGATTGAATTTAGTTAAGCTTAATCCATTCATAAGGTGGATTCTAACTATTTATAGTTCGTGTATGGACAAAAAAATTTCCTTCGCCTTCATCATTTTAATTTTTAATTAAAATTCACTTAATGGTGCTATATGGGCATCCCACTTTGTGTTGCCTCATTTGGTGGAGACCCCATACCCTAAAATTCTAGAAGAAAATGTGTTTCACAAACCCTAGAATGCTTCTATATATAGACAACTCAAACAACTTGTAGAGCAACTTTAGAGCAGTTTAGATACTCTCTATTTGGGTAAGTACTTTTGTACACCTAGTTTCTCGAGTAGAGGAGGTCGTGCCACTGAGCAGTCTCCTTATGATTTGATCTGGTGACTTCGTAGGGGGCGTGTTTTGAGATTCATTGTAATATCTTTCTTGTAAATTTTTTTTTTTTTTTTTTTTTTGCCTATGGAAAAAAAGTTAAAATTCTTCGTTGGATGTTTAATAACAATGATAATTGTCTCATTTTTATGATGATAAATCTTGGTTTTTGTTTGTTATTTGAATGACAGGTGAAACGAAAAGCTTCAAAATGAGGTATCTATCACTTGCTCTAGTCCTGATGATGTTGAGCTCTTGCTTAGCCATAAACAGGAAAGCCCTAATGGCTGAAATGCATGGACACGAGCAGCGGCAGCTAGTTGAGGACGATGGGGGCATTGGTTTCGAGTACTCGGGAAGCGGTGTGAACAACCACCATGAAATCCATAGGAAGGACTTTAACAACTACAGTGGTGGTGCCTCTAAAGGTGGTGATGATCATACCAGTGGTGGCGAGACCTAATTAGTAAATGCTAGGGTGTTTAAAGTAATATAGATGATCGATCGAGCATAATATCTGTGTAATAACAAGGGTTTATGTATGGGTTTGGTATAGTGTGTTGTAACATTGAATTAGCTTGTGTAATCCTATAGTACGTTGCTGACTTGGTAATGATGCTCTAATGTACTATAATAAAACCTTTGGTCTTTATTATATGAGTATATTATATCTTTTATAACCGAAACATCAATATTTACCGGGTAAATAAAATATATCAACATACTTGAAGGAAATTTACTGATTAAATATTAGAACTACGCAGTAGTGAAATTTGATCAACCAAGTTCATTAGTAAGTGGAGTTCAAAGTGTTTTTCAAGACGAAGTCCACAGTAATGTCGTTTTGCTAATTATGCAGAATACCGACAAGTTTATTGCATCCACCATCCTGTTAAGACTATTTGTCTTAACAATGCACACTCTCTCTCTCTCTCTCTCTCTCTCACACACACACACATGGGAAAATCAGCATGCAATTATATACAGCTAAATGTTCTTAGCATGCTTTTATTTAATTATCTTCCAGAGTTTCTCTCTTTCAGTTAGGTTCTCAGTGAATTGCCATTTAACACTGATAAGCCATCAAATGAACACTACGTGCTACATGTAAGTACAATTGAGCTCAACAACACTTGCACCCTTCCTCTTATCCCACCCTTGAAACTCCATTTACCTCTTAAAACCCTTGCAATATTTCCCTTACAGGATTTGGATTTAATAATATTCCACATTCCAACACGTCCATATGTTTTCTCCACTCATTCCCGAACAACATCACGACATCGCTGTTCATATGCTGTTTTTTATTTCTAGCAACTGACCCCCCGCAACGCACCTTGGTCGAGAAGAACGATATTTCAGCTTCCATCAAAACCAACTATGTAAAATTAACCCACATAGTCATGAATCATTTGACCTCTTTGCAAATGTTGTTGCTGTTGCACACTGTCTGCACTTTGCCTAAGACCCAAAGTAAGAGACACTGCTCCAACTCCCCCAATCTCGAGCCCACTTCGCTGGTAAGGTGAAAAACCCATCCATGACCCTCCCATGCTTGCAGGATTCTGACAATCCACTCTTGACCGCTTCTCCTGATTCCACGACTCTGCCCTCGATCCATCTTCGTTGCATGCCGAGGAGCCAATGCCCGAGAAATTTACTTGCTTATCCGACACTGCACATTTGCTGAACCTGTTTACCGGTTGGTGGTCATTTAGTGGGCTGGCGCCGTCACTTGTGCGTTTTCCATCAGTTTTGCCTGGATTCGTGTTTGTTTCTGCCAAACCTTTGGTCTCTAGGACGTGTATTTCTTCAACCATGGGTTTCCAAACACGCACTCGTGCATTAATGAACCAATTTGAGACCTGATGCATTAAACCAGTTAAACATCATGGAGCGATAAGGACACGTGCAATGTTCAATTTGACACATAAGTAACCAGTAAAACTATCTATAATTGGAAACTCAGATGCTCTACATCCGATACATTGCCAGTACCAATTATGCTATATTCACTTCCTCCACTACAAAATGCGACATAGCCACGACTAGATTAATGGGGTCCCCCCAAAAAAGGGTACGGGTGCCAAATGTAATATTGTGCAATTTCTTCCACATGCTAGACCAAAAACGTAATTGAAGAATATGAAATGGAATAATGATTAACATGCTGATCTTACCTGGTTTCGAGTTAAACCAGTTTGAGTTGCCAACATATGCTTATCTGTGTCCGTTGGATACCTAGTACAACAAATGAATCTCATATAAAAGTACAAATATACATAGTTTGGACAAACACATATGCAAGAGAGAGAGGGAGGGAGGAAGGGAGAGAGACTCACGGGTGAAGGAAATGGTCAAACAGCCAAGCTCTAAGAATAGCCACAGCACGTTCAGGTAGGCCTCTTTGAGGCCTCCAGACATGATGGGATTCAAAGAATCCCAGACTGCTCCCACTAGGCTTGTGCTTTTGAAAACCGTGGTCAATGAATTTTAACTTAGATGTACTTGCATCACCTTTTGCGTTGCTTGTATCAGTGGTGGGGGACGACAAATCCTCCCCCAAAGCTTTCCTTATGTGCCTAACCTGATCTGAGATGGCATTCTTAAGGCACCGGAAATGCCTCAAGACTGTCTTGAGAGCTACTGAAATGTAAGGGATGGCTGCACTAAGACCTGCCACTGATTCAAAGGATGAAACAACCATTTGCATCTGCTGATGATACTGTTTGTACCTTCTACAAACCTTTAAAAAGCACAAGGCAACCATAAGTCACAAAAGCCAAGTTCTCAATAGAAAAGGCTCATCTCCAAATGCTACAAATATAACTATGTACATTTAGGAGCTACATATGGTTTCACAAACCAATTATCCCGAATCCCCTTGCGACTAATATGAAATCGCGCACAACTTTTCCAATAAACGAAATGTAAAAATTTGGATTAGTGTCATTTAGGATGCGTATGAATTATGACAAGTGTTTTATCGGCCGGAATAGTCCAAAACAAATGCGTGCATGATACATACATTCCTTCAATGTCCTGTCATTTAATCAGGTTATCCAGAAACATGCGATTATAACAAATCAACCTCATCACAAGCAACAATGAGTTGCTTAAGGGTATAATGTCCCCATCCAAATGTTCACTATAATTTGGTCAGACCTGATTGATAACTAAAGGAAGAACTGTAGCGCCCTTTCAACATAGGAAGGAACTTAGCTTGTGTTGAAGTAAGGTAATCAAAGTAACTCAGGTCGGGATGGCAGATAGAGAATTTGTATAGGGAAGTCAGCATCTCAAGATTTACAAAGGCTATTATTTTTAACTTTATGATGGGGCCTCAACCATGCAGCACGACAAATTATTGGTGTATGGATCTTGCTTTAATAAAGTAATTGGAAACAAAGTGGTCTTTACTGTTAATTGGAAATTAGATTGCTCTGTAGGTCCAATTGGATGTGAGGAAAGCCCCTTTCTTTATCTGTAATAATTGTTTTTGATGAAGGAGAATATAGCATGTAAAGTATTCACGTCCATATATGACAGAAAGGTGAGGCAATAGATTTGTCACACTTAAAGAAATCAGTCCCAGCTTCAAAATCATTTGATTTTTTTCCATTTCTTTTAAATCAGTCAATTGATCAATAGTCGACAATACCAAAAGCTTGTATGCACTAATAAAGAAAACAAAAAATCACAAAGAGTAAGTGAGAACATCGCCTGAGTTTATGTTTAATGAATATAGCATACGATGCAAATGCAAGTATACATTACCCCAGGATTTGGTTATCAGTGTGCATTAGATGAAACACTGGTAAAGTTACAATTCGAAAAATGAGCAGTCGGGTTTTAAGAGAGGCAGTACTGGATAACTATGGTCATTATATAACTCTGAGAGAGAATGAAACAAATAGAAAATTTACATGTCCCAATCTCCAGAAAAGGCCCATGGCCAGAACAACATTTTTCCAGAAATTTTTGTAAAGATGTGGTCGACATACAAGTCAATGAAAACACATTGATGAACAGGAACCTTAAGCTCTAATGAATAAAGAAATCAGAGAACTATCTTTGGTCATGATCAAACATACAAATGTACCAATAGAACTAAAGTATGAAACAGTCTAATTGCTTAATACATAACAGGGTTACTCTTACAAGGATTGACCATAACCCTACACAAAAAATAGGTTAAGTGCAGACCATGTAACTCCTCCATACATCAAAAACTAAGATTTACACATCACAAAAGAACTAGAAGATAATGAGATTGGCTACCAAATTTCTATCAAGTATTTTGAGCAGACAAAATAAATTTATATAAGACCTTGGGTTCGCCATAAATGATAACGACTGCAGATTCATAACCAGTAACCAGTCTCTAGGCATCAAATTTGATGTTATCTATCTTGATTAGGGGCCAAAAAAATCTGTATTACAGTTAAAATCTTTTCAGTCCACCTAAGAGCCTAGATCAGACAGGAATTATGTTACGCATAAAGTGATCATAGCTTTTATAAACTTACACAATAATCCAACATATGCCAAAGAATAGGGAGTCCGATATTACCTATTTTACACTTTCTGTGACAAATCCAGGCTTTTTTTCCTACAATAGTTGATGACATTAAAAATTAGCCTTACGACATCTATTTATACATCTTAATATTTCTACATTCCGAAATTTTTGGATCATAAATGCCCTACTCATTCTTAATCTATATTAGTCCCTAGATTAGGACATACTGTAAAGTTCAAGTACATACTTGGATTCTAATTAGGAGATTGAGCAAATTTGGCTCCCAAGTACTAATGCAACATTAACTCCAAATCCTATTCAACATTGAAGTCAACTCCATGCACGCAGACCATAGCACCTCATATGGGTATTGGCTGAAAAATTTCCACTATAACTCAACTCCAATTGGAGTTGTACATTTGGTTTCATTATATGCAAACACATGTACATCCTTTGAGATTCGATTATCCTCGCAGCACCCTAAACATAAACATGTCACTCCTCAAACGGAGCATTTCTGATTTGATAACACACTGCATAAGTTCAAACCAAGTTGGTGGATTTCCTTTGATCTCACACGAAGTGATGCCTCCAAATCTCTCCTATTAATCTCAAAGTTTACAATTCTTGTCCTACCACGCATCTATTCCAACACCTACCCTCCTATATCATCAATTTTGGATATTTAGGCTTCCTAAGGATGTTGGTATTATGCCAAGGTGTCATTAACCCAAAAAATAAGTATTGCCAACAAGAGTCCCTTGAATCACTTGACTTTTGTGGCATTCCTAGATAGTGAGTATTTGTTATATCCTATCTGAGGCCAGTCCTTTAGTAAAGAATCCTCATCCACCACCTTAGTGCACATTTTTCTCAACAATGTCTATGCCCTCCAACCTTTTACAAAGGAAATTACTGATCTACAAATTTCTTAAAATTGTGCAACCGTCTCAAAAGAATCACTCTTTGGAGGCACGTAAGAAATCCTTGGATGATGGGACACCACAAGATATTCCACTTTTGTCAGGAGTTTTGGGGAAATATATAGTGTCATGGTTTCAGAAAAACATTTTTTTTTTTCGGTAAGTGGTTTCAGAAAAACTTACGGGCGCCTATCTGGCATAAGGTCATGGTAAATTTTAACTTGGATATATGATCTGATATAAGATATACGAGCACTATAACCTTTTTGGTGTACCATTTACGCACTGTCTAGTACTAGTTTGGGTTGTTTTTTCCACTAAAAAGAGGTCATACTAAAAAGTGCAGTCTTCTCCAATACATCTATGCCTAACTAAAACATTCTAAAGGATCTAAAAAGGGAAAGAGGATGAACTTACCAATGTTATATTCAAAACAGTGAACTGAGATGGCATGAAGAAACAAGTAAAAAGGTAGCATTAATTCTGTAGAAAATAAACACATCCTCTCTATGTGGCAGGAAAATGCATTGGTCAATAATTACCCAAAAGCAGAAATTATAATAGAATCCAAAATTTTGGAACGCCTCACTTGCAGGTTAATAAACAATGGCAAGCACAAACCACAAGGATCCAACTTATGTCATATTAGTTATAATGGAGGATAATGTAACAAACCTCCTCATGCATATGCAAGAGCTTTGCCTTCTTCTGCTGATATTCAGACCGAAAAGACTCAATAGAGCTTCTCCCGCCTCCAGCTTCTCCACTAAATTCATTTGAGCTGTAAAATGTAGAAGTAGAGGCAACTGAATCCCCACCCTTAGCTCCCACCACAGATTCAGTAGCCTCAACAATATCAGCAGAAACCCTAATTTCCTCAGAAATCTTGTTACACACCTCACCTGTTGTCATGGGTTTAGGTCCAGTTATTCTGCAAAATTCATCCAATAGCTGTTGGGCTGGTTTCAAAAATTTCGAACTCTTCAGTATTGTCGCATAACCAGTAAAAGGGCCTAAAGGACCTGTGTTTTGACGAGTAAAAGCAGACATTTCTTGACGGGTACTTCCAACAACATTGGTACATATGGGCATTTTAGAGTTGGAACACAAGTAATCAGACTTTAAGGTTCTTGACTCTGAAAAATCACTGAAAACAACAGTGCTGGAGGGTAAATCTCTGAAATAATTTCTCTCTCCGACTTCACTTACATGTGTTCTACATGGTGGAACCGATGAAAGTGATAAAGATAGGCCTTGAGTAGTAGGATTGTCATTTACCACTTTCCTGTTGTCTCTCTCAGTAATCTTATCCACTGGAAAACCCAATTCACCATTCCACTGATAACATCCCTCACCCGGCCTATTGACAAAATCGGAAGCATGGTTAATGCGTAATGGATATTGATCACCATAATTAGCTGGGAGAAGATTAAGTTCATTTCCACGATCTGCCCAAGAACCATGGCTAGTTTCGCATATATTTGGTTGTCCTACAGGCTTCATTTCTAAACCCCCAGTTCCAATGGTAGCACAAGTAACAACATCTTGGAGGGTATTTTGGTGAAGTGAAGAAGAATGACAATGCATTTCCATAAATGGCCTTTGGGTACTTTGAATAGAAATTTCACTGGATGGTTTAAGTAAAGAGGATTGCACATCTTGGGAATTATAGTAACTCGGCTTCATGTAGAGCGAAGATGCAGGCAAGTTTGCCTTCAAAGAACCCGACAACCCTTCTCCGACAAACGTTGGGTTTTGATTGCCATCAATACCAGCTGATCCACTAGAATAGTCAGCAATCCAATCACAATTTTGTTGTAAACCAACGCTTTTCCAAGTGCTACAATTTTGTGGGTCACCACTAACTTTAGCTGAAGTGCTCAAGTTGGATGAAATTTGGTGCGACAAATTAGCAAAAGCAGCAGTTTCAGCTGCCATTAGCTTATCCGATTGAGCAGTAGTTGCACGCTGATGCATCACCATACCATCCTTGGAAGCCAAAAGGGGTTGTGAATTTGTCGCAAAATTGATCATTTCCGAGGAAATTACAGTTGGGTCATATGCTATATTGCCATACCCAAAATTGCGAAGCTGGATAAGATCTGTGTTCAATCCCGAATGGAAAGGTAATTGTTCCAAGTTGTGAGTATAATCTTCTAAATGCTGGTTTGGGGTTGAATTCTGCTGAATTCTCAACTTATCACGCCGGCTTTGCTGCGCTACATGCAATTCAGGCCTAAAACTGCTCATCTTCTTTGAAAAACTCGAGGCTTGTTACCCTTGAGGACTCAACAACTGGTTCTAATACAAACTCCTATTTACATCCAATGCGCAACTGGCCAGCAAAAGGTCTTAATCTATCTATCACCCCCCTAAAAGCGAATCAAATGTTCAACAGAGAGTATTAGACTAGAGAGCTCACATTTCCTTGTCACCCGAAGGAACCATATGAACCAAGCATATGCCTGCATGCGATCAAATCAGTTAAACTTTTTATCATAAACTCGAGATTGGAACCTGCAAATATATGACTAACGAAAAACAAACTGTAAATATGATATCTACAAAAAATGGTGTCAAAAGCTGGTTCGTAGTACAGCTCACAAGTGGTAACAATTCCAGCCCAAAAATGTAGACTTACTCTTGCATTCAAAACAGCGTATGCGTGTGCTGTGTGTGTGTGTATGTGAGAGAGAGAGAGAGAGATCAAACTGGCATAAAGCAATAGCCGTGCGATGAAAAATGAGAGTGAACAATAGTCCATATCTCAGACAGTAACAGATCGATAAGATCACATAGAGAAAACAAGAAGAAGACGACATGGAAGAGAAAGCTAGTGGAACCTAAGGCAACTACCAAAACTTGACAAAAAAAGAAAGAGAAATCCCAACTCTCATTACAGTATTAGAGTCCCTCTTTTTTTCACAGTATTTCTTGTTGTCTTAAACCCTCTTCATAGCCTTCTCCAAAAATATCTGCAACAGTGAATATACGATTTCACTCGTACTATTCATCAGCGAAACTTTCACCAAAAAACAAGAACAAAGATTCAGACCAAAACGAAAACGCAAAGAAAACGAAGTCACTGCCGTACCAATTCATATTACAAATACATATAAAACCAAACATATAGATCTATCGCGAAGGACTGAAACCCTAGTTACGAACACAACGTCGTTAAAACCTCCGTCAACTATAATCATCAAAACATCTCGTAATCTGAACACCCACAAACGGATCCACTTCATGAAAGCTCAAGAACAGCCACTACCTGCTTCCTTAAACTTGTTCTTCAGCTAAAACAAATGAATATACCTGAATATGTGTATCATGTACGTACAATTATATATATATATATATATATATATAGAACTGGTTTGAATGCAGAAGTTATAACAAAATGGTTTAAAAACCCAGCAATCACAAAGAAACTAACTATACAATTTTAAGACAAACAATGACAAGAAGAAGATCGTTCATTTTCAGCAAAAATCAAAACAGTTAATACTTGTTTCACTGACAAAGTTGGAACTCTCTCACCTCTTTCAGAATTTGAAGTTAAATCAGACCTTCATTTCCAGAGCAAACCCTTTCGGGTTTCAAATTCAACACTTTCTACGGTGGGTATTCCGGCAAGAATGTGCCGAGGCTGAGAGCCACGAGCTGGGAGCTCGCTAGCTGGAGTAGTAGAGTACAATGATTGCAACGGTGAATATGGCCGTTTGGTTTGACGTGTTACAAGACTTTTAGCTTTATGGGAGAGTGGCTTTTTTAACGTCGGGCAGTTTCGCCGTTACATCTGACGGCAAATATTGTCACAAACACCACCTCATGAATCTTCAAGAATTGAATGTTGTTCCCCCTGGGGGGGCCCTGATGTGAAATTTCGTTTACTTTTTTCTTGGCGTTTTAAAGGCAAAACAAAATAGTTGTCTTTTAATACGCCCCTTAATCACCAAATTAATTACACAAACTACCATTTTATGACATTCTTTGCATTATTAGGGATAAATACTAACTAGAATTTTTTTATTATTATTTTTAAAAATGTTGATACAGTATTTTTCATTTTTTATTTTTTTTACATATTATATTTGTCATTAGAAAGATGGAAAAAAAATACATCTTGCATAATGAATATTTTCCAATTAGGTTGGTAGCTTCACATTCCTCGATATTTTTGTAATGTTGAAACTTAACATTAAAACTAATGTTACATCAATTTAAAAAGTAAATTTAAATTGTGTACTTAGTAATTATAATAATCAATATTTATTATGATTCATTATCTATTTTAATAGTTGTGATTATCAAGTCTATATTTTAATTTTAAATAGTATTTCCCTGCTGTTAATCATTTCGGTACATTCATATTCTTAAAACACATGCAAAAACTTATTTAATTCTAATAAGGTAATCAATTATTTTATGGTGTCCACCACTTAATTTACAATAAGTCTTTGTATTTTATGAGTCCGAGAGGATTGGAGGGCTAGAGAAATATCAAAAATAATCAAAGATAGTGAATCAGAGAGAGAAAAGAAGGTCAGAACAATTTCTACCCAAAACTCTCAAGGAATAAAGGCAAGCAAAAAGAGCATGAACTTGAATTGACTCAAATTTTTGCAATGCTTTCGCGCCGTTACTTCGTTTTGTTTGCCTTGACGTTGAATTCTCTTACACATGTACCAATTGTTTTGCACAAGGTTGATAAGTTTGCCCCTCATAATTACTTAAAAATGTGAACAATGATCTAAGATGTTAAATTTATTATACAATGTTTTTAAATATTTTATTTTTAGATTGAAAAAATCATAAGTGAAATGTCATGACCATGCTTATAATTTTCAAATACTATACCACTCTTCTATCTAATAAATTGTGTTTTAAATTTAAAAATATTTTTGATTGGCCTTAGCCATTTTTCGGTAAATTAAAAGTTCTTAAACTCAATAACTCACGATGAGATGTTGAATTTAAAATGCCATAATATAGAAATATTTTATGCTATTTTAAATAATTAATTTATTCTTAAGTTATTTATAGGTTGTATGCTTAGGGTTTTATTTAATTTTTTATGTCATGTACTAAGCATGCGTATTATCCCTATTTAAACTTTTACTTGTAATTAGATTGCATCGAGAGATAAAGTACATACGTCCTCCTGATTAGATGTAATTTAATTTTTAATTAATAAAATTTTCTTTGCACCATCGAGATTCGCCAAAAAAAAATTTTAATTAATTTATTAACAATATAAAGTATGATGTCAACTAGGTTTTGCAATAAAATAAAGGATAAATAAAAAATATTTTTTTTCTATGCGACTTTGTCTATTTTTTACTAGTATTTCGTTTAGACTAAATGAAAACTAGTTTTATCAAAAAAACTTTAGTCTTAAACCTTTAAATATTTTTGTCATGCTTGAACTTCATACTTTTGAATGACCAAAAAAAAAACTTCGTACGTTTACGTATTGACGCCACAAATTTTTACGACAATCTTGTGTATTAGGCAGCCATGATGAAGTTGTTCAATCATGTTTTGCCCCTCCTAAAATAGACTATTGGCTCTGCCTAGTTTAACTACGAAGTGATTGTTATTTTTCAACTTAGCTGTAATTTTTTTTTTTTTTTTACTGTAAGATATTGTAGACTCTAAAACATATTGCATACTTTGGTGGATATTGTAGACTCAAAAAAATATTGCACATATCTGGTGAATATTGTGGACTTGAAAACATATTGCATATGATTGGACACATTTGAAACAGTGGGGATGATAAACCAAATTTGAGTGCATACAGGGGTGTCAACTTTGGCCTGTTATACGAATTCGACACTAATAATTATTAAATACGTATAATAAATAGTCTATACTAATGTTTAATATTTAAAATATATTAAATAAATTTTTTTTCTTGAATTTTGACGTGAACATGACACAAATATCAATGACACAACATGTGAGTCGTACAAACATGACATGTTTGACATTCGTAGGGACACAGATCTTGCTGTATTGTCAGTATTGTGGTGTGTTCACAAATACGTTCTTTTTGCACAAATGTATGTTCCAACTTGACGAGCGCCATGCTAGAGCCTGAGTGCAAGGTTTATTGAAAAAAAATTTCAAGGGCATATATCTGCGTTTATGCAAACGCTGGAAAAGCAATATTCAGTTGCCGGTGCCGACAACCAAACTAGCGTTTATTTTTTGGCTGGGGCAAACATTGGTTTAGATATCCGATGCTTAAATTTAAGAAAGACAATGTACTAGATGACATTTAAAAAAGACACTGTAAAATCATTTTTCGGTGTTTAAAGTGGTTTAGGCGGGCGTTTACAAAATTCTTTGTAGTGTAAAATTAGTTGAGTGAATATGGTTGAAAAGGATGATAGGTTTTTAGACATGGAGACAAATGGAATTTAAACAATTTAAATGCAGATTTTTTTTTTTGGTAAACAAACGAAATAATAGACTACATCGAAGAGACAAATTCTGATCATATAATTCTTATGAAAATTAACTTTCCATACACATGCAACCATGTGTATTGAAGAATCCCTAGCAGCAGAAGTGCAAAGTAGAACCACATTTGCTCATAAACACATTTGGAATTCAAATGTCACATAAGATATCAAAACCCTAGTTAGTCAACAAATTGAAGAAGTATCAAACATACAATAATGAGATTTCAGTTTAAAATGTCTCATCAATATGTCTATGGGACTGCCACCTCTATCTTTCTTCTTCTTCTTCTTATTTTTTTTTGGTTGGCTTTCATTACCATTGATGCTTGCTTGCCATTGTGATCAGCCCCCTACACAATATCACTCCACCACCAGCTATTATATTGCTACATTACTGTCGTGCTGCTAGTTTATCATTAAAATCTCTACTTTGCCACCTCTACGTATCATCCCACATCCCGGCCCTTGTATGTACATACCATGAACCCAACGATTTAGCCTCCTTACTAGAATTTGCACATATATCCACATATTTTGTGGATTTAAGCTCAAGCCCCATGCAATTTGCATAATTGCAGTATGCTGACATTAGTTTTTATTCCATACCCCCCAAAAAAAAAATCCATGTGTAAACAAATGCATTCAATCAATTTGAGAGTTTAAGGATTTGGTTAATCTACCAGCACCAATCTAAGGTTATGGTTCTGATCGTGGTACTATACTATAATTCATCTAAGTCACTGATTTTAAAATGAATTAATTAATTAAAATATAAAA